AAAATGGGTAAATTACATTTTGGAGTATAAATATTGGTTGAAAATAGATTTTTCACATTAATGAAATATACAAAAAATACAAGCTTCACTATATATTTAATTGTATTTTACTTATGTGTTGGAATAGTGTAAATTACTGTGATTTTGATTGTTACTTTAGCAGTTCTAGAATATAATCATACAGCAACATCAATTCCTATATAAATATTAAGAGTAACTTTGGCAATATTAATGACAATAGGATTTGAACCAATTTCAAGAATATTAATGGGAGTAATATAAATTATAATTATTTTAGTATTTAGCATGTAAACCAAATGATAAAGGCATACTTATGATGAGATATATAGAAGATTAATAATGTTGGGTTAGTGAATATGAATTGCATGCAGTAATTGCAATATTGACTTTTGCAGAATATTTATTAGTTGTGTTGATATTTGCATAAATATGTATAGAATCTAAAGAAGTTGAATAAAGTGCATTAGCATAAAGACGAGGTTAGACAATGCTTTATTACTATTTATTTATTATTGTCTCTTTGGTGGCATATTCAACTATGTAGGAACCTAAATATACTTTAATAGTTATCTTATTTTAATTGGTTACTTCATATACATTATTTTATAGTGTTAATAAGCATACACCATTTTATAATACAAAAATTTAAAGAATATGGTCTATAACAGCAGGAATCAATTTTTGGACTTAATTTATGTTACTATATGCTTATGTATTAGAAGGTAAATTTTTATAGAAAACATTTATAATATGGATATTTGGTGTACCATTTATATTTGCAATATTGGCAATGAAAGAATTATCTTATGTAGATTTAGTAACAGCTTGTATGAAATCAACATAAAATGGAATTGAAACTGTTGAGATTTGTACATATATTTTAGCTTTAAATACATAAAGTGAGACTAATTAAAAATCATAGATATTATTAGCAGGTTATATAGAATTTCATAAATAATCTTGTGATAAACTTGATTGTGTTTTATTATCTAATCATAAAAAGAAAAATAAGACTGTGAATGTTTTTAAGGATAGAAAGTAATAGATAGTATTATTAGTAAATTAAACTTATTTGGAAGGTTTAGAATAATTTCCAGAATGTGCAGATCTTAAAATATCTTATGCATATTTTTTATTAGATAAAATGTAATTAAAATAATAAGCACTTAATTAATTAAATTTAGCTGAAAATTGTGATCCAAGTTTTGATTAATAATTTTTTATTTATAGATATAAGAGAATTATAGAAGAATAAATATAAAAGTAATAATAATCAAATAACAATAATAAGAAGAAACTTGATATAGTTACTGAAAAAAATTTAAAATCTGAAATAAAAAATATTCATTATTTAATTGAAGATTCTTGTATGGAATATTTATATTTTTGGTCATAATTATAAGAAGAAGTTCCTAATTTAAAAATTTTACATGAACATGGACAAAAAATAATCAAATCTGTAGATAAAGTAGAATAATAATGGAATAAAATTTTAGAGATTGATCCTTATGAAATTAATACTTATAGAATTTTAAGTAAATATTATGAAATGATTGTACATGATGAATAAATAGCTTTAGATCTATTATTATAAATGATTAAGAAATAGAAATATAATACAAGAGAAAATGAATATTTTGAAGATCTTTCTAGTTCTGGAGATCCTTTGATTGTTATGTCTGTATCTGTAGGACATCCAACTGTTATTTTAAATGTTAATAAAGCAGCATATAGTTTATTAGGTTTTTCAAAAACAGATTTAATAAATCGTAATATAGATGTTATTCTACCATCAATGTAAAATTAATTAATATTATTATTATTAGTTATGTAGATTATCACCTTTAATTAGTTGATTTTATTTTTGATAAACAATCTGTTGATATTAATTAAATTAATCAATTTTAAGAAAGACTTATGATGCTTAAAAATAAATAAAACTATATTATTCCTTGTTATTCATAATCATAAATTATAAATACTATAAATGGATTTATTATGACAAGTAGATTAAGATAAGATATTCATTATAAACCAAAATGTCATATCCTTATAGATATTCATGGTAGAATATTAAATGTTTCATCTTCATGTATGCAAATTTTGAAATTGGATTAAAAATTTCTTCATTTAAAAGAATTCAATATATCTAAATTCTTTCCTGAATTATTATTAAATAGAGAAGACTATTTAAGTAAATAAACATTAATACATTTTTAACTTTAATGTACTTCATCAAGAGGATCATAATCTAAAGATGATGCTGTAAATTCATTTGATGAAATTGAAGATAAAATATTTAATTGTTCTCTTTATCTAGTAGAAACACCTTATGCTAATTAAAATGATGATGTATATTAAGTATATGGTTATGTGGTTAAATTGGAATAATATAATACTGAAATTATCAATTATCCTTTATTAATTAAAAATAAGAAAATAAATAAAGTATTTAAATTTTATGTTGCTACAAAAACTTATTAATGTAATTATTTAATTTTATTATTTTTTTTAGTAGAAAATACAGATCCTGATTATACTAATAATGAATCATTAATTGATAAAAGTATTATTTGGGAAGAACCTTAAAAATTATATTTATTTACTTAACATAGTAATACAAGTAGTAAAAAATAATATTCATAATCTAAACATTCATTATTAAAATAAAGAGTTTATGGAGTTGATATTAAAACTATGAGATATTTTGACAATTAAATTATTGAAATTGAAGAAGATTTAATGGAAGAAAGTGAATTTAGTTAAAAAAAATAAAATGGAGAAGATGAAAATGAAAATGAATTAGATAAATAAACAAAAATTGAATAGAGAAGTTTATAAATTAATTCAAGAATTGGTTTAATTAAAGTTATCAATAATTCTAAATTACCATTAATTATGTTAAAACTATCTATATGTATCAGTTTATTATTTTTATCTGTATTAATAATCTCAATCATTATGTTTATATTAATTAATCAAACTTAGGGAAATATTGTTTAAGCCTTAAATTTATTAATTGCTAATAATCTTAGATTATGTAGTTTCATTAAAATGTAATCTAATCTTTAAGATCTTAAATTTACAAACTTTTAAATATTACCATATACTTAAGAAACTGTATAAGGTCTTTTTGAATCTATTAACAGATAAGAACTTGCAGCAGAATTAAATCTTACTATGGATTATTAAATTATTTTATAAAATGAAGAAATTAGTATGAATGGAGATTATGTTTAATATTAAAATGCATTTAAAACTACAAAAATTACAATGAAATAAGTTACAGGAGAATCTTAGAGTTTCTTATTTGAAGAAGTGATTTAATAATTAATATCAAAAGCAATTTCATTAAATTCAAGTAATTTAAATACTTTTAATGATTTTAATCAAGATTATTATTATTTCAATGAGAACTTATTTAATTCAGTTCTATTAAATTAACATTTAGCTTAAGATTATTACTATTATAATATTATTTATTAGACTGATTAATTAGATTAATTATAAATCTATTTTTCATTAACACAATTATTTTTAATAATTTTCACATACTTTATAATTTAGATATTTTTGAATAAACATTAAAATTATTTAAGAGAAATCTTATCTTTATTTATGGAATTAGATGAAAAAACTATAAAAACATATGTAAAAAATGCTTAAGATTTTTTAACTGCAATCCGTTTAGCTGATGATAAATAATTAGATGAAATTGAAGAAGAATAAGAAATTGAATAAGATCATTTTGATTTATCTTCCTTTAATAAAAAGAAAAAGAAAAAGCAAAATTTTTCAACTAAAGAAATTAAGAAGAATATTATTTATGTATCTATGATCTTGATATGTTATGCTTTCTTTTTTATTTATATTTTCATAACCTCAAATGTAATTTATCATCTTATTATATAGACAATAATTTCTTAAACTGAATAATTGACTCCTTTATTAAACATTACATCAATAGCAGCTTCCTAATATAGTTTAATTGATAATATAATGAGAGAAGCTTTTTGGAACTAATCCAAAGTTATTTTGAATTTAAACTCTTTCACAGCTTTATCATATATGCAAAATGTATTATATGAAATGGATGCAGAATCACATCAATTAAATCAATAAAACTCAGCAATATTGGATGAAGAATATAAAGAAGCTTTTAATTAGATTTATATTCTAAATCCATGTTTAATTTTAGATGAAGGTGATAATTAATAAAGTGTTTGCTCATAATTTTATAATGAAATTCTATTATAAGGATTATCTTTAGGGGTGACTAAATTCTTAGAAAATATTAAATATTATTTATCTTTATACAAGGCTTATGACACATAATATTAGTATACTAATTTACCATATGATCTATCAATAGATCCCTAATTAAATTATACTTATAATCTATTAAATTAAGATGATTTAAATTCAAATAGAATTTTTTCAAAGGTGTACATGAAACCTTTATAGATTCATTTGACTAATATATTACAAAGCTCATTAAACAGACATTTTGAAGAATTAAAATTATAGTTTGTTTCAACATTTCTAAGTTTTTTATTATTATCTATAGTATTGTATTTTTTGATGTGGATTCCTCGACTATAAAAAAATTAAAAAGAAATTTTTCAAAATAGAATAATGATATCATTTATTCCTATAAAGAAATTAGATTAAATAGAACCAATAAAAAATTATATCAAAAAATATCAATAACAAGAATGATTTAAATATATTATATATATATTTTTATTAGATCACTAAATAAATAACATATATATATTAAAATAATATAAATAAATAATTTATAATTTTATTTTTTTTAATAACCTAAAAACAATTTCAGAATTCATATACAATCTCTTATTATAGATTGAAGATTGATAATAAGAAAATGTGTATCAAAGAAGCTTATAAAATTTTTAATCCAAAACCATTAAAATTTACTATCTTAGATAATGAAATCATCTATATTATAATAATAATCAGAATTCCTATTATTGATTCTAAATTTCAATTCTTGAGAATCTCTCCTATACAATCTCTTCATGATTTTCTAAATTGAATTGTTCTAATCTATCTTATTTAATGATATCAATAGCATCATCAAAAACAAGACAGATAAGTGGTTTATTAACAGTGAAATCACTCTCTCTTGGTGGTACATAACTAATAAATATATTTATAATAACCATACCAATAATCTCTATATCTTTCAATTCCTTCACCATCATCTGATATACAACTTTGAATTTCCCCTTTTATTATATATCCTCCAAACATAAATTCCACATTAGAATGTACATCAAATTTTTTGAATTATGTCTTTGATCTCAAAAACTAACCCAATCTCTTTGCTTCCATCTATGCTAATGGACCTGCTTAAGATTCAAATAATTTAATTAAGTATTCTAATCAAATTAAATAAAATACTTACCAATAGAATTGATATATATTTTTTATTCAAATATTTCTGATTTTTACATTAATGATCTAAGTACATTCAAATTTAGAGAATGTAAAACAGTCTCAGATGCAGCTCTAGCAGTTGTCATACATTTGCCATCTCCTATCAAATTAGCATATGAAAGTAAAGAACCCAATCCTTTTTTCAAAACATGAGTACCAACTTCATCATCTACTGTACCTTTTTAAACAATGTATATATTTTAACAAGTCATTCCTTTTTCATATACAATTTCATCTTGTTAATACCTTTTCTCATATGTTGATTTAACAATTGTATCCAATTCTTCTTTAGGTACTCCTGTAAAAATAGGGAATTCCATTGCAAAAGCGTGAAATGTTGGAATTTACCAATCAAATGAATGATTTTCAAGTTCAACTAAACGAGCATCAATATTAGCCTTAAGTGAATTGAATTCTTTGTCATCAACTAATCCATTTTTTTAATTCTCTTCTAAATGATGTCTTTAATGCATTAGAACTGTATGTGAAGCTCTTTTAGTTTGTATGGCTCTAATGACTTCAGGGAATGTATCATTCAAACTTCCCAAATAAATCTCAGCCTTTGTAATTTCATTTCTTATTTCATCCATAATTAACTTTACTGCTCCCTTATTCATTGGCATGTGTTATTATAAAGTTAGTACTTCAGAAGCACATGATATAAATGTAGTAGTCACATCATAAACAAATCCTAAATGCTTTGTGATATACTATTAAGCATATCCACCTAAAAAGGTCCATTCTTTGGCTTTGAAAAAGTATTTAATGCTACTAAAACTTGTGAAACTCTGGAACAATTATTCCCAAATATTGAGAATAGAACCTGTATGATCAAGAGCAACATCACTAGATTCTACAAGCAATCTTACTGAATCTTCATCACATTGACCATGTTCAAATTTTGAATAATAAAGACCTTTTAAGATTCTTAGAACTCTATATCTAACTTCACCAAAGGTTTCTGAATCAGTTAATCCTTCATATGAAATTCTACTCATATTTCCACCTTGAATTTATTTGATCTCATTTTCCAATTAGACAACCTCTTGTAAATATTCTTGAGATCCAACAAGTGCTTTGACTTAATTCCAATCAGCCATAGCATAATGTTCATCACCTTCTAATTCTTTAATTGTATCTTCTTAATTCACTATCATATCTGTCAAATATCTTTTATAAACTTTCTTCTTAATTACTGGATTTTCAATCATATTAAGATAATTAACAAGTGCCTTACAGGTAGTTCCATTAACAAGATTTGTTAGAGCAGCCATTCCAGCAGTAAAAAATACAGATAAATGTCTAAATCTTGGAGGTAAATCAGGATCACATCCAACCATTAATGAAAGTGTTAATCCTAGTGCTCCTCTTAGACCTCCATAAACAAATACTATTAATTCTGGTTAGGACATTGGATATCCATATTTCTTAAGTAACGGCCAAAATGATATAACCATAAGATATCTACATATTATCATAAAGAAATAAAAAAGTATCATCCTAAAGTAATCAGATGTATAAATATATCTTTCTTCAATAACTTCAGTTCCAACAATCATTCCAACTAATAAAAATACTGTAGTGTCACAAGAATATTATACAAAACTCCAAACAGTATGAACAGCATGTTCACTTTCTGATCTAATTCTTGTTTTACCAAAGGCACTCCAAAACAAACCTAATGATACAACTGCAAGTAATCCACTAGTTTTAAAGAAACAAAATTCAGCCCAATAGAAAGTTAGATATGTAAATACAAATGTCAACCATCCAACTTCAACATCATCTCCTACTATTCTTCTTGCCCATAATGCTCCAAAGAATCCAACTATTACTCCAAGTACTGGACCAACTATAGAATTTCTGAAGAAATTTAACAAAACTCCACCAAATGTTACTCCACCTCCAATACCTGCTGCTGCTTTTGATAATTTATTAAAAAATATGAAAAAGACCATTGCTACTCCATCATTAAGTAATGCTTCACCTTCAATAAGATGATTGAATGCTGCACTCGCACCTAATTCTTTAAGTAATGCAACAACAGCTACAGGATCAGTGGCTGAAAGCACTGAACCAAGAGTGAATGCCTAATACCAATTCATATCTTCATCACTATAAAATAGGAATAATTTGAATACAATTCCTAAAAGTATGGCACCCTAAAATATAATAGATTCTTACCCAACCAACTCCAGGTCCTGCCAAAAGTAAGATATTCACCATTTAATATTTGAATACATACCAATCACAATTAAATGCTGATTCAAAAAGTAAAACAGGAATAAAAACATAGACAATTAAGTGTGGATGCATATGGCTTAGAATACTTGCACTTTCTCCTAAGTATCCAAGTGAACTTTATAACAAACCAATTAATAACCCACAAGTTAGTACCATAGGAGAATAAGGGAATCTACATCATAATCTTGTTTACTTTGTTTTTTTGTTTACTTCTCTTAAAGTAAGTCCTAAAAGGATACCTAGAGTTAATAAGTAGGCCACATTAGCAGATTCTTCCATTTTCTCCTCATCTCTAAATAAGGAGTCTTAATGCATAATATTTTCTCCTTCAGAATGAGTATCTTCTTCTCCCATTAAAAATTTATATTTATATTTATGTATCACGTTAATTAAAAATAATTATATAAATGTATGAATCATTTGATTTGCAAAAGCTTTCTAATTTCTTCAGCAGACAAAGTCTCTTTCTTGACTAATTCTGTAGCCAATGATTTGAGTTTATTTTCATTTGATTTCAATAATGTTTTTACTCGGTTATATGATTCCTTAATCTAAATTTATTTAAATACCTCTAGAATCTTCTTTACTTCCATATCAACCATATAATCATATTAATCACTAGTTTTCTATCTATCACTTTAAATAGAAATTAAAGAAATCTTATCATCCATTCCTAATTACTTCACAAACATATAAGCCAAATCAGTTGCTTTAGCTAAGTCATTGCTACATCCACTAGTAATATCATCCTTACCAAGAAAGAGATCTTCTGCAGCTCGTCCTCCCATAGCAACATCAATAGATGCAATAATTCCTCTCCTTGTATAATTCAATTGATCTTTTTCTGGTAACATAGCTGTCTATTAGCAAACTTAAATAAATATATACAAATCCTAAAGCTCCTCCTCTAGGCAATATTGTTACTTTATGTAATGGCATAGCTCCATCAGTTAATAAACTAGTTAGGGCATGTCCACCTTCATGATATGCTGTCATTAATTTTTCTTTATCACTCACATGCATATTTTTTCTTCCTATTCCCATTGATATTCTATCAATAGCAAATTCAAAATCTTCAGTTGTAGCTATCTATCTGTCATATTTAATTGCATTTAATATTGCAACATTCACCATATTTTGAATATCTGCACCACTGAATCCACTTGTTTGTCTAGCCAAATTTGTAGGCAAGACTTTCTTCTCATCAAATTTAATCTTATTTAAATAGTAAGAAAATATTTATTCTCTTCCTCTTACATCAGGTAATGGAACATGAATCATCTTATCGAATCTCCCTGGTCGTTTTAAAGCTGGATCTAAAACCTATTTATTATAGTAATATTTAATACTTATTCAAAATTAGTAGCTCCAATTACAATAACACTTTCTGTCTATTTAAATCCATCCATCTCTGTAAGAATTTAATTGATAGTATCTCTTGAATATCCTGGATCTTAAGCTCTTCTTCTTCCTCCTATACTATCTATTTCATCTATAAAGATTATTGAAGGAGCTTTTGCTCTTGCTGCTTTAAATATTTCTCTCACTCTTGATGCTCCAACTCCAACAAACATCTCATCAAATTCAGAACCTGATTTGTAAAAAAATGCACATCCAGCTTCACCAGCTAATGCTCTGGCCAATAAAGTTTTTCCAGTTCCTGGAGGTCCTACTAATAGAATCCCTTTTGGTAGTTTGGCTCCTGAATCAGTATATTTTTTTGGATTCTTCAAAAATTCAACTATCTCTTCCAATTCTTCTTTGAATTCATCTATTCCCAATACATCATTAAAACGAGTGGGAATGTTTCTCTCTTCTTGAACACTCTAATTGTTTCGCAATATGTTATAAAATCGATCCATTCTACCTACTCCCTAATCAGAGTTCTCACTTTATGCTTTTTCATTCTTAGGCTTTGTTTGATTTGGCTGAAAATAGTAAAATAATTGATATATTATTGCAGCTGTTATAAGTAATTGGATTACCCCTGGCAAAATCAATGATTTACGCTTGTCAGAATACATGTTAGATTTCTGATTAGTTAAAGCAATCCCGTATTACTCTTGCAATTACTAATGTTATTTAGGAGTCACACCATCCCTGAAATCGTCTACGGTTAAATCATATGTGATACCTGCTTATTTGAATATTTAAAGGGTCTCTTCATACATTTGCATACGATTTAATTATCTCACATAGTTGAAAGCTTTATCAGGATTATGAGGATCAGAGGCGAAGTCCTTTTATAGTAAACGCAAGGTCTGAATATTTTGTTAATTGACTAGGAATGTTGAGTCTGCGTGGATGAATGGTGAGAAATCGAATTTATGATCTGGGATGTTTACAGATTTCCTAATAAGATCCTCTTTGTTTAATTGAAATGGACTTTAAAGAAACTTGAATGTCGGCTCTTAAGTTATATAAATAATGCTTACTTCTGAAAGCGAAAAGTGATTTATAACCAAATCCCCAAAGAAACTACCATAAGATTAATCATATTTACCGGTCCTTTCATTCAATATATAGCACAAATAAAATATAATTAATGAATCTCGATAGTGCAGCTGACTTTTGTCCCTAATGTCATTTTATGTTAGAACTGCCAGAAGTATTGGATATAATTGAATGCAATCGTTGTGGATATAAAGTATCTAATCAACTATATCAAATTAGTGTTCTATCACTGATTATCAACCTAAATTCATTATCTCAACTATCAAAATGGAACCTAAATCTTGGTTATCTAATCAACCATAAGAGTCTAAACTGTCTGATCAATCACATAGAGCTGTTATTTAACAAGCCTGTCCTAAATGTAGTCATGAAGAAGCATATTTTTCAACTGCTTAATTGAGATCAGCAGATGAAGGATCGACTGTATTCTATGAATGTGTAAAGTGTCAGTTCCGCTATCAATTAAATAATTGAATTTCACATGTTATATATGTATATATGCAATTCAGATCAACAAACTTAACAAAATTAATTTATGCTCTAAAATTTAATATAAGAATTTGTGCATACTCAATTCACATTAAGACCTTAGTTGTATCAAAGATGTGGTTTTGAGGCTAGATATTTTTTTAATTTCGGAGAACATTGTGATCCTAGACATTAATTACCAATTAGCATAGTAATATGGAGATTGCCACCTGGAGAACAATTAAAATAAGCAACTCATTCTTAAAATGATATAATCACTTATATTTTAAAGGGGTAATACAGATAAGATAAGTATTATTTTAAAATTGATTTATATAGCTCAATCTCTGAAAATTAATCATTTAAAGAAGGAGATGCAATATAATATATTTGTGGAAATGATAATTCATATCATAGAGATAGCAATAACTCTTAAGATGTTTCAGAAATATTATAAATTTTTATATAAAATATTGATGTCCAAAGGGATACCTACTAATAAATATACAAATAAAATTAAATAATAAGAAATGAAAAATATTATGAAATGTGTATATTGGAAGGTGATTCAATAATTGACAACACAAATTTCACTTTTCTTATAATTATCAATTTGGATGAGGCCTTATTGACAATAGATGAGAAACAGAATTTAAGAAAATACGAATGCTAATATTTCAATACCTTAAGTAAAATTAAAATTAGTGGTAACAAATATATTGTAATTAAATTGCTTTGATTTTCTATAATAATATAAAATTAGAAATATTTCATTCCTATTATTCAGGTGGTTATGGAATCTTGACCATTTCTTTATTTTTTAAACAATACATGGCTATAAATTCAAGAGGATCTTTAGGTCTTTCAATATCTACTAATTATAAAGCAGGCATTAATAAAGGAAGGATTGTTTTACGTAAATAATCAGCATCAGAACATTCTTCTAATAATTCCCAATCACTTTTCTTAGGTATTTCAGTTTATTCTTCAGGTATTCCTTTTTCTATTCTTTCAATTTCTTCATTTCTATTTCTTTCGCATATTTCAATTTATTTTATGAAATAATCAGGATCTTTAATAACATCTAATATATCCACATGTACTAAATATTTATTCAAACATCTCTTTCTACTTAAATTTTCTAATGTTACACAATCTGTTACTTAAACTATATTATTTTCATTTCTATATATATATATATTATAATATTACTCTTAAATTCCATCATCAAAAAATATATGAAGTGTATCAGCATCTTATTAATCAACATATAATTATTTAGCATTTTATTCACTTGGTTATGCTTAATAAAAGTTAAAATCATCAACATAACATAAAGCACAACTCTCTTTTAATGATTCAGTTATTTTTAATAGCATTTATGTTTCATTATATATTTACACTTATTCTTCTTCTAATTCTTTTTCATATCCATCCTCTAATTATTATTTATCTGTTCTTCTTAAAGTTCCTGTTACTAATTATTTTTATAGTCTATAAACTAAAGCACATTATTTATCCAAAACAATATAATTTTTAGTCCCTTTTGATCCATCAAATTTAACTATTGGTGTATTATTTCTACCACTAAAACATGGATGTTCTCCTAAACAAAATTTATTAAATTCTCTTAATATATTTTTTGGATCAGTTCCAAATGGTCTAAATACTATTGCAAATTCTCTTTTCTATTTTTTTAAATTTATTATAGTCTTATAAAATGTAGGTAACAATTAATATTTATTATCTGAAAATAAATTATTTAACATATCCTTATCAGATAATAATTAAGTTAAATTTCTTTATTTAACTTCTTCTTCATTCAAGAAACCGAATTCTTCAGCTTATTACTTTAATTCTTCAATAACTGCTTTTGGTAAAGTCTAATTTATTTTAATAATGAACAAATTACTATTAATTTTACAATTCTGTCATATTCTGGTTTCAATTTCATACATGGTTATCCTAATTTGACAAACTGAAAATATAATTATTTTCGTTATTCTCTAGATTTAATTATTTAATCTATTTTACATTGCACTATTATTATATTCTGTAATATCATCAGGATCTCCTTCAGTTTTGAGTGGAAATTGTTAACATATGTATTCTTTATAAGATATCATATCTTCACTAGGTCTAATTGGAGTAAAGTTATTTGTTAATAATTTCCATAAGACTGGTGATTTTTCATCTCTCTATTCTAATTTACCCCATGCATATCCAACCAATATTTCTTATAACTAATGTTAAAGATTTTATATGATACACATTCTTCTTTAGTTTAATTGATATATTTGGAATCAGCCAATATAATAGTTTTATTCAAATCGAAATGTAGCACTAATTTTTTTTGCTGTTTCATAATTTAATTATATATTATTTAATTATATTTCATTTGAGTGTTTGAAACACAGACATTTTTTATTATTTCTTTTTAAAAGAAAATTAATCGAGTACACTTTTCTTCTTTGTATTAACTAATCCTTTAGTAGAATTCATTTTATTTTACTCTTCTTCATATTGAGCAATTAATCCTAAATAATATTAAGTACTATTTTATAATTCCTACATTAATATAAATGAATACTTCTTTTGGATCAGATCCAGAATTACGTTTTCTCTATAATTCAATCATATATAAACAAGTTTTATATTTTGATTTCCTTTTATCATAAATTATTTTAACCTCAGAAGCCACTGTAGGAAATTCTTTTAAGAGATTTCTAAAAATATCATATGAACAAAAGAATCTAAATATATTTATTAAAAATTACAAATTTGTTGGTTCTTTTGCAATAGCAAAATATTCTCTATTTATATCTTCAAATGCTTCAATTTCACCAAAAAATGATGCCTCTAATAAAGTAATTAATGTATATTTATCATGAGTAACAAAATTAACTTTGCCTTTTTCAATAAAATAAATATCTGTTGGTGGATCATCTTGTCTATAAATGATTTCACCAGGATGAACTTCCAAAAAATTGAGATGAGGTAGTATAGTAGCTGTAAAATTCTTATCAATCTTAAGTAATGAAACACTATCAATTAAATATTTATAACAAATCATCAACAATTCATTACGAATCTATGATGGTAATTCTTAAATCAATTTCTTAGGATCTAGAGATGAATACACATTTTTTAAATAATTATTTCTATAATATTTATGTACTTTGCATTTTAAAGCATATGGTAATTTTACTCTAACTGAAAAATCATTAAATAAATGCATTCTTCTTTCAAAATCAACCCATTTTTTATCTACATTCTCCAAAATAGATGATAATTTTCCTAAAGTATAAGAAAAGAATCCAGTTCCAAAAATCATCCAAATAATAGCAAATATACGTTCTTCAATTGTAGTAGCCTTTATATCACCATAACCTACAGTTGTGAGAGTCTATAAACTCCATTCAAAAGCAGCAATATATTTATTATATAGAGTTGTATCTTCAAGATGCGCTTAAGCAACCCAAGTGTTAGGATCAAATTCATTGAATTTTGCTATAAAATACCAAAAACAAGCAATTAAATGATTTATCAATAAGATTTTACCTAAGAGAATCAATCCTTTAATAATTCCTTCATTGATTCCTAAATAAGAAAGGATTCTAGCTGCTTATGTTTTATTTTTTATATTCAAATTAGCTTTTGAAATCTTTAATAAACGAACTAATCTATATAAACGAGGTAAACGAATCAATCTAAGCAATTTATTGTATCTCAAAGCTGCTGTATCTGTATTATCATCTAAAAAATAAGTAATTGGTAAAACTGCAATAACATCAACCGTAAACCATCCATAAATATATTATTTGGCTATCATTCTATAATCATCAACAATTTTCTATTCCTCATCATAGAATGCACTCAAAAAGTTTATTATTAAATCAGCAAAGAACAAAACATCAAATATTACATCAATCCAAAACCAAAATCCTTCATTTCCAGAATCAATCTAATTATAATAATGTTATTTCATACAAAACAAACTTTAAATGGAGTTATAACTGCAGTTGCCAATAATAAAAATATCAACAACATATTCCAAACTGTTTTAAATTATTCATCTGGATAAAATACATATACCTTCTTTTCTTCTTAGTTTGATTTAAAAACTTCATCCTCTATTAAATCCATATGATCATCTTGTCTTATTGCACCATATATCTTAACTCTATTCTAAAATGATCTCATTATTCCAATAAAGTAAGATGCCAAAAACACTCTTCTCCAAATAGCAACTAGTCTTTGTTTCTTCTCCTGGTTTACTTTCTTATAAAACGAAAAGTTCTATAGAAAATCTAACTTCCTAAAGAAGACATTAAAAACTGTGATTTATGGATTAATCATAATTATTCGATTAAAATATAACCACTACTATTATAACTAATATCGATAATATGACAATATATAATCAATTCTAATATGAACTCTATCTTATCCTTTAAGCCATCTCTGGAGGTAACTTATTAGGTGGTCCTTATTTTGATCCAAATTCTTTTTAATGAGTTTAATAATCATTTCTACAATAACCTAATTAAAAGTGATGGGTTCTCAAATCCTATAAGATATCTATATAATAAATTTACTTTTTTCATTTCTGCATCCATTTTACCTGGTTATCCATGTGGATTCTTAAATTATGCTTTTGCCACTGATTCTGTTGTATCTTCATCAGTTCCAAATTTAAAGTGATGTTTTCTTAACTCTGCTTAGACTTCTTCTTACAATTTTCCTGGTTTTGAATGAAAATCTCTAAACCTTGCTTAAGCTTCACTTTAATAACTTAATTTATCATTTCCAATCATTATATTTTTAGAATTATCCACTATAGGATTAACTTTCTCAGCCTTTTATCCATTAAATTATTGATTATATGTGCTTTTATAATGTTCTTAAATTGTAGGTTTTACAACTTCATCTTTAAGATCAAAATTATTTTATTGAAATTAAGGATTTCTAACTTATTCTTATTATCCTTTTCTATCTGAGAATTAAGATCTATAAGCTGATTAATAATTAACAGCTTAATCATTTCCTACTTAGAAATGTGTTGCTCTTAAATCTTTTAATTATGCCTCATTTAATATAGATCTATCACCTTAATTACCTACATGAGAAGCCTTAGCTTAACTTGTATATTCAACTCTATCTGTACCCATAGTTATATGTGTATTTCTAACTAATTGTTAGGTCTTGTCTTGAAAATTATTCACTTATAATTATGGTTTCCCATATATAGCTTAATTCTAGGTTGTATAACCATTACCATCTCTTCCCATAACTAAATTAGTTTTTCTTAATTGAACATTCATTTCTGCCATTCTTTCTTTTGAATATCCTTATCCTAATAAAGCCTTATCATATTGTTTATTATGCACAGTATCATACATAGAAGAGTAATAATTATTTGTATCACCAAAATCATGATGATGTTTACGTAAATCTGCATTATCTGCCTTCTTAACATTGTTTTTGCCTTAATCTCCAAAATTCTATTCATATTCAGTTGGCTTATTGATATCATGATAACCTAATTAGAAATGATGAGATCTCAAATCTTTCTTGGTTTCATCACTTAATTTAGCTATAGCTGCACTTTAAGGTCTTTAATAGTCAGATTTTTATATGGATTCTAATTTAGGTTTGTCATCTCCTAAATGAAAATGATTTTATTGTAATTTTGGAGGTTATATAGGCTATAATGGCTACTGTTATTGTAACTTTTAATCCTTTTCTACAACAGATGTCATAGGTCTAACTTTAGCTGTTTTCTATATTGGCATTGGTTGCTTAGCTACAGATTAATGATTTGTGTCTTCATCAAATCCAAAGTAAAAATGAGCTTTCCTCAATTCTTAAACATGCTTTAATCTCTCAGCAGTTGCATTTGAACTCATGTTATTAATTATTTAATCTGTTATTCAAAGAATATTAAATTATGTTAACTATAATCTTATTATATAATGTCATTTTTACACTACTCTTACATTGAAGTTCCTTTTATATACTTCTCTTAATTAAAATCAAATAAAATTCAAGTTAAAATATATTAAATATCAAATTCTATTGATGTATATAAGATTTTTATAATATATTTTCTTAATAAATTAAGCAAATATAAATGACATCATCTAGTTCACATATATTCAAATAACAGTATTCCCAAATAAATATCATTTATTTTAAATGATAAAAATCATCTTTGCTTTCTCAATAATATATTTGTCTCTCTGCACAAAATCAATCCTTATTTTAAGACATGGAGCAAGAGATCCATAAGTTTGGACTGAATATGATGAACACTTTTTATGGACAGATCCAATTAACATTTTAACCCAAAAAGGAGTTGATTAATTAATAGAAGTTGGTATTTAATAATAAAGATAATCATTTTTTGACTCTTAAGGCAATTGCATATATGATTTATTAGAGATTCAATCATCAAAAACAGCTAGATGTACCTCTTCAACTGTTTGTTTCATAAAAGGATTATGTCCTAAAAACTATTAAGAAATTCTACATAGATTTTTTAGTGAATATTATTAAAATAGAGTCTTAAATTAGAGCAAGTTTGAAAAGATTTTATAATCTAATTTTTCTGATCCATTATCTTTAGATTATGATATATTTGATAGCACAGGAGATTTTATGTTTTAAGGTCATAAAACAAAGTAGTGTCCAAATTTGAAACAAATTAATAAAAATGTTTAAAATAGTAAAGAATATAAAAACAGAGAAAAAGAATTTAAATTAATGGATTAATTAAATGGAGTATATGATATAATGGTAGAAGCATATCCTAGTAAAATAATTACTAAAAGTTCTCTAACTTTAACTGATGTTGATGATATTTATGATGATACATTTTGTAATCAATTTTAAGGTTTCCATTTTCCAAATCCCTCATAAACTACATTTAAATATATGTCAGATGTTGTTAAATTTCTTAATTACTTTGGTTCAAACTCAGATATATTTTAGCATTAAGCATCCCTTACAGAACCTTTTAAATGGATTATTTCATAATTTTACTCCAATGAATAATTAAGTGTTTATGTTGGTACTGAATCTAATTAATTTGCTATGCTATCTGTTTTAGTAGATGAATAGTATTTAACACCATTTGCTTCAGAATTGGAATTTATTATTAAAGGAAATATGGTTTTTATTTACTTTAATAAAGTCTAATTGAAAACAAAAATGTGTGAAAGTGGTTATTATTGTACTATCGATTAAGCAGTTCAATACATGTAATAATATATCGTTAAAGATGTTAAATAATTATGTGGAGTTTGAATTTATATTTTATTATTATTATTATTTGATATATGAAATCAATATATTTCAATTATAATATTAATCAATAAATTAAATAAAAATTTGAGTTTAAAAAAATTATTTCCATATAACTTTATCAGCATTGAGAGTACCCATATTTTATAATGTTTTTTAGGCTATTTTATCATAATCTAATAATGCTTTATTAAATATTTTCTATTTCTAATAATTATTTTATCTAATTGGTTCTATTGGAATATTTCTTATTATTCTAGCATGAAACAACTAATTAAAAATTTATAGACATTAACTGTAATTGTTATGATTTTATTATACTTTTTTAAAATAAGAATCTAATCTTCCTAATAGATAAGTCATTAATTCTGCTGATAATAATGGAATTGCATCAGTGTTTCCAAATTATATTTATTATTTACTATCCAAATTAATAAAAATAGTATTGTAAAATTTATTAATAATTCCTTGATTCTAAAGAGTAGAAAAATTCTATTTTTAACAAAAATATGTACACATTCTAAGCCAGCAATAATTGGTACAGGACTTCCTAAATAAACAATGTTTTCTAATGGTAAATTACTAATAATAGGATGAATCCATGCAAATGGTTTAAGTAAATATTTTTAGCATAATAAACAAGCTGCTGTTGATAAATAAGGTGATTTACTAACAAAAACTATTGATTTTTCAATTAAACAACTTACAAATATTTTAATCAAACTTTAAGAATTAAATTTATTAAATAATTATGGTATTCCCTAATATTTCAAATATCAATACCCATTAAATATTATCATTTTCACATATTTTTAATTCTTAATTATTAATTGTAATGAAATTAGGACAATTTTTCTATGAAAACTATGATAAAATTCTCAAACATATTTATGCAATATTTTTATCAAAATAATGTGTGTCTACTAAAGAAATATTATTTGTTTTTAAATATAAATTATTTCTCATTGATTTTAACTAAGATAATATTACAATTATAATTTGTTAATAAAAGTCAATTAAAGATTTACTGGTTGTAATACAAATTGCTCTTTTGCTAAATCTGACCTATTATGGACTTAAAATTGTAAAATCAGTATAACGATAACAAATATGATATTTTAATTATTATTTCTCTGTTTATTTAGTTAGAATAACAAAACAATTAGGAGAATCAATTGAATAATTTTGATTCATCATTAAATTTATATCTTCCAAACTAAAAGATAATGGAATCATTTTAGGTTTACATCCATCTGGGAATATGAATTTAGAAATTGATAGTATATATTATTGATTTTCTAATGATAAATGTTTACTAGCTTAATGGTATGAATAAATCATTTATGGTTCATTTGATTATTATGATTCTAATCCTAAAATAAATAAATCATCAAACAATTAATCATTATTATTCTTTATATTAGAAGTAGTAACATTTTTAATATCAAATTAATCCTATACATATTATTAAGTAGATTATCTAAATTATTAAGAGATATTAAAATTATGGTTATCTGATAAAGGAGCTTTTAATTTAATCTTTTAACCTGAACTTTAAAATTATTCCACTCTACTATCACTAATTGCAGGTTCTGAATTCTCATCAACATTACAATCTTCATCTGATGACTCATCTTAAATAAATATTTATTATTTTTGCCTTTTCAACAATTAAATCTCTTGTCTACTAGATTCTAATTACAATTCAAGTGTTTAAATATAACAATCCTTTTCATATAATAATTAAAGTAATTGTCTTTAAGATAAGTGATCCATAAGGAAAAAAAATATAAATATATATATATTAAATACTCAAATTTAAATTGAAATCCCATTAGTCGTTGGCTAATTATTTTCAAATTAACCTAAAAATATATTAACTATATTTTAACCTAAAAACAAATTCTTCTTATGTTTAAGATGACCAATACCACATCTAATGTCATCCTTAAAAATTCCTCTATATATATCATTCTTAGTAATTTCTATGCCATAACCTTATTTTTTATCATTTGAGAAATATCCAATATATTTATATTCTCCTTTTTGAAAACACAGTCCTAAACCTTGCTTTCCTTTATTAGAATACTCTCCATAATATAGAGAATCCTTTATTTGAATCGGTTAAAGCTAACATATTATAAATAATGAAAGTACATTAAGTAAATCAGAATAAAAGAGCTTCGGATCTTTTATAAGATTAATAGAAATATTTTATCCAAGGAATTTATCATCAAACCATTCTCCAATTAAAGGTCTCTTATTAGTTTCTATGAATATTCCCATATGATGTTTTCGACCAAGCAGCCAAAATCCCTCATAAATATCCTTATTTTTATAATACATTCGGCCAAAACCGCATTATTTTCCAGCAAACCATTATCCCTAATATGTTCCTTCTTCCACTTCTATTGGTCTCTCAATTCGACATTTATTATATATAATATAGAGTGTGTTAGAAAGAGGATGTGAGTTTAATTTATTTTACAAAGTCTAAATTGATAAATCAGCATCCAAATCTTTCTTGGACTAACTGATAATAACCTAATTTTCCTACTAAGTAAATTCATCTGTAAATTCTTATTATAAATTAGGAAGAGGTATTGATTAAAATTCTTCAAAGCAAACTCGTTCATCCTGAGATTCACAACTACCCATGATAGTTGAAAATATATAGTAAAAATTATATAAAATATATTTTTATCATTATCTTTGATCATTTTTAGTAGTTTAAGTAAATAGCTTAAGTAAAATTTGATGGCGTAATGAAAGTATAACATAGTATATTTTAAGAATTAAGAAAACAATAATATTATATATAACTATTATATATGAGTGATAAGTAGAAAATGTATTCGATTTATGATAAAATGATTGATTAATTTATTTAATAAAATGTTATTAAATATACATTCTGAAGAATTTCTATAATAATCATAACATAATCAAAGACTATTTTTGAGATGGATAACTTAATTACTTGTTATTCTTTATAAATATCTTTTTTATTGAAAAACTCAATATTATCTTACTTAATCTCTTATTTGTCTTTATACTTATTATTCCATCATTCTTCATAAAATATAATAATATTGAATAAGATTTCTGTTTTTCTATATATTTAATAAACTTTCTCTATTTCTAATTCATGAATATCCATTTTTTGGGTTTTCATTAAGTCTGAATTGAATTCCATCTATTCTGATGTAATAAATTCATTTTAAATATTATTAATTTAATTATAAATCCATGTCTGAAACTAAATTTGTAGATGAAAATTCATTAATTGGAATAGCAGCTTCATTTTGGTAATAATATTCAACTAAGACTCCTTAAAAATTGAAAATTATGGATGCTTTTTCTTTATATTGCTTTATATTAGTGATAATTCAATTGTTTTATTGTACATTAGTAGGTGACTTTCCAAGAAATTCATTTCTATCTGGAATATTTGCAGCTGCTGGAGCAATGATTATAAATAGTATGCAATATAAATTTCATCATTAGTATGTTTAAGGAAATAATTAAATCCTGAAACTAGATACATGGCAATATCTAATGAGAGAGCCTTTTGGGAATATTTAGCAGCAATGGTTGTGCTTTTTTTGACTGTGATAAATTTCTTGGGTTGAATGATATTAAATATATAATAGATATATATATATCACAAATCTAAATGGCTTTTATTTGGGATTAGATAATTAGGTACATTTGCAAAATAAGGTGGAATATTATATGTTCCAGGTCCTGGTCCAACATCATTTCTATCAGTTACTCTTGATTCCGATCCGAATCTATCAAAAATAATACTTAGCAAAAATACGGGAATTTTGGTCCTGGATTAGTTTAATTAAGTTGATAATGGTTTGGAGCAGGATTATCATTTATTTTATTTTTTTCTCTAGTTTCAGTACCAACTCTACAAGATAAAGGTCTTGATTTTGTTTATGAAACATTAGGATAGTAATCTAAAGGACCTGGTATTCCATCAGGCAATCTATCAGTGTATTTTGGTCTTAGAGTATAGCCTTTGCTTCCTCCATCTCTGCTAATATCATAGGATCCAGGACCTGGGACTTCTTGTTAATTTACAAGCTTTCTTTACTCTGATCCAATTTTATAACTTGGAGGTCTTCTCTTTGTAGCACTTTATGATTGATAATGTCCAGGTCCTGGAGTGTAATGTGCATCAAAGACTTATCTTTATTTAGCAGTTCCTACTCTTCCACCTGGAATTGAACGCTTTGTGAAATCTGTTGAAGGATCATAATGTCCAGGACCAGGAGCAGTATCAGTTGCAGTAGGCATTCTTTTAGAACTGATAGTAGTTGCTTTGAGATTAAGATGAGATTAATGCATATATTATCCTGGTCCTGGAGTTTATACTCTTTCAGTGAAAGTAGAATCTCTTAAAGCATTTCCAAATCTATGATATGGTCCTGAAGTTGCAGGACGCACATTATACTTACCAACTCCTGGGATATAGGGTTTAGTGTCATAAAAGCCTCCTCTAGATTGATTTCCAATTCTTGAAGCTGGTCTACTTATAATAGTGGAATAGTTAGTTTCATATGCAGCAGGACCAGGACCATTTTTTAGTTCCCGTAAATTGTCATCTATACCTCCCAATTATGGTTTATTTCTCATACTATAACTGGAAGCACACTTTTGTAAAGGTTTAAAATCTGGATTGTATGCACCTGGTCCAGCTTAAAATAGTTAATATTAGAATTTTACGAGTGATTCCTTTGCCAATTTCTGTTTGATTTTAAAATTTAGCTCCCATTGAAAATTCAGGCTTTTTTCTTTTCTGAACTTAATATATGTAATTTTTACGATTGCTTTTTAAAGTTATTCATATTAGCCTGGTCCAGGTTGATAATGAATTAATTAATCTGTTCTATTGGCAGTTCCAATTCTAATTTTAACTGATTAATGTGTACTTCCAAGAAGGAGGTCTTTAATGAGGATAACGATCAGGATTGTAGTTCTAAAGAATAATGTGATTTATACTCCTACTCCAGGAGCTTATTCTAATTTGGGAGGTGGTCTTTATTGAGATGTTCCAAAAGAATAAGCAGCCATAATAATTAATAAAATTAAATTATAAATATCATTCCCATTCTCCATAATCTTATCCAAAAAGTTCTTTTTTAATAAATAAAAATGGTAACAAATGAGGCAAAATAAGAGCTTATATAATCTATAAAATAAGCAAGGTTATTTAGGATATTTATATAAGGTTTATTTCACTTATGGAATCATTTTTTTTTACTTCTTATATTTAGATAAACAAAGCCAAAAAGAAAGTAAAACTTGCCACAAAAGTTAAATATGTTTATAAATAGAGATAACTTACTAAACCTCCAATTAAAAGTTTACTTTATCCTAAATTCTTTTTAATTTTTTTAAATTATTGTTTATCATTTGCTCCTAAAGATAATTATAGGTTTCCTTTGGCTTCTGAACATTTCTCATGAACCAATCTTGATATCTGTTGATCATCAAAATTACATTCTTCCACATACTTCTAAAATTATTATTCACTTGGAAAGTATTTAATCAAATTATTCTACATTATATATAGTCTTTATTATGCTTTAAGTATATTGTCATTATCTTGAATTAAGTCATTGCTCAAACAATTATTGTAACTCATTAATAATAAAGAAACAATACAACCAATAAATAAAAATAATATGTTGTATATTTTAAAGAGTAAATATGAACTTTGTTAATGTATTAATGTTAGATTTTCTTCGCTTAAAAGATTATATTTAAATATCAATTGATCTACAGATAATCCAAAAAAAATGAATAAAAGCATTAAAAAGAAAGTTAATATGAAGGCTTTTCTAATATGATAATACAATAAAAGTCCTCTATCATCTTCTTTACTTTTATCCAATCTCATCATTTCTCTTTTTGTTGATAGAAATGAAAAAGCAAATAGTAATACATAAAATTACAATCCATTAAAAATAATTCCAAATGTTAATATAGCTCCATTACTACATATAAAATGAAAATAAGAATTAAAAATTATGTAGAAATAAGGTTTTGTTAAAAAGAAGATGATGTATTTAAGAGATTCTAATATTTTGTTTTGTAACATAGTACAACATTACCCAATAGAATAACAACATTAACATACACATTTTTATTCCCAAGGACAACCTTCACAAAAGCAATCATAGCAATTACAAACTATTGTTCCATCATATTCATGTAAAGTTTTTAATTCCTTTTATTCTTTTGAGTATGATCTTAATGGTGATGTTGTATTTTTTCTAGATGGTGCATCTACTATTTATAAATCTAGAGAATCTAAATAATTAAATATGGTTTTTGCTATAAAGTTATTTTACAATTATACATAAGATATAATTAGTCATTGTCTTTACTCCTATTTCTATCTTCTTTTCTATCATTTCTCTTCTTGCCACAAATATATAAATAGTTATCAAAATGATATGTATTAATAATATGGCAGAACTTGCTATTATTTAAATACTCATAATTATATTATTTTTTTGATCATTTTTTAATACTTTCTCTTTTATATATAAATATATATTATAATTGATAATTTATTAATCACAATTTTCAATATGTAAAAGTAACCTAAACAACAAACACCTAAAAATGTAATCAATTAAATTCCACTTAACACCTAAGAAATTTTGTAAAGACTTATGAAAAAAAATTCTAAATCTAAATTATAATTAATAGATATAGCAGATGATACAAAGAATGTTAAAAATGAGAAATATGTTTCTAAATCTCCTTGTTCAGGATGGTAAAGTTTTAGAAATTAAAGTTCTGAAAGAGGGATACATAAAATAAGACATTAATCAAATGAAGATTTGTAAAAAACTCTAAAAAAACCATGTCATCTTAATCATGTAAGCTCAATGATTGGATTTTAATAAAAAGACTTTATTTAAAATGCAAATGCCTTTTTGAGAGAAAAAAATCTTGAAAATAAACTAGATACTTTGACTTAATAGGTATCAAAATTAAGAGAAAAATCAGAATAATTGGAATTATAGAATAAATTACTTTTTGACAATTTATAAAAGTATAAATGTGAAGGCAATCAAGTAATTTTTGGGTTATCATGAAGGAAAGAAATGCTTTGCTTGAAAGGTTAGATCACATGATTGAAATGTAATAGAAATAAGAAGAGAATCTATAGCATATAAAGACCTTATTTAGTGACAATTCTAGAAGAATCAAGACCCAATAATCATAACCTAAATAAAGGAATTTTGGAAAATCTGCCTATATGGGATTTAATGTATGAAAATGTTTATATTTAAATTATCTGTTAATAATTAATGAAACAATCTCAAATGCAACATAAAAGTTGGTTATAATTGTAGAGATTTGAAGAGTATGAAATAAATAAAAAAAAATACCTTGAAAAGGAATAAGAATTGAAATTCAAAAGTTAAGATTAATATGCTCAACAAAAGTAAATTAATTGGATTGGAGATATACATGAAAGATAAACTTAATTATAAAAGGCAAAATGGAAGTGGATGGAAGAATAGAAGAAACGTTTAGATTGTAAAAGAGAGATGGATTAATTGGAAGGAGCTACATTCCATCCATAAATATTAAATAAAGATTAAAAAATACGTACTCCTGATTAATTCTATAAAGATAATATAGATTATAAAAATAAAACTGTATATAATCATATAATCTTAAATTTTAGGAAAAATAAATAGAACAATAAAAAAAATAAATAGAAAATAAAATTAATAATAGAAGTTGTTCTCCTAAAATAAATAAAAAATCTGTATAAATGGTAGTACAACCATTTTATGATAGATTGAAAGATAAATAGTTAGAGAAAGAATAGAATTTATTAAAAATTAAATAAAGTATTACACCTTCTTTTAGTCCTTAAATATTTTCTCGAAACTTTTAAAGTCGTCAAACTTATTAAATTGTTCAATAATTTGTTAATTTAAATTCAACTAAAAATAAAAAATGTGAAATTGATTTAGAAAATGTTAAAAATGATTATAAATCTTTTACATTTTTTGAAGACATAAGAAAATTCTAACATTCTCCATCTGTAAATTATCAATCAAATTAAGAAAATATAACCAAAAATTTACTTTTATTAACTGAAAACAGTTAGATTTTAAATACATAATAGAATCAATAATAATTTACTACTAAAAAGTAATAGAGATCTGTAAGTCCTTTAAAATCAATTATGTCTAAAACTACCTAAAAAAATTACTTTAAAAAATGATTTAAATATTTTTAATTATATACATATACTAATGTTTATAAATTTGTATATAATAATATTTAGATGTTATTCTTACATTTTATTGTAAGAATTCTATATTAAATTCAAATAGTCTTGAATTAATAATGTATTTATAAATAAATTTAATCTATAAAAAAGTTAAAAGCCAATATTAAAAATGGGAGCTTGTCACACCAAAAGGTCAAGAAGATAGAGCAATGAATGGAGGGTTAGTGAAAGACTCACTTCATAAAGATTAGATTTCATTTTCTAACGGTTGTCCCTATATTTAGAACTCGTTGGAGACACCCACTCGTTAGGAGGATACTTGTAAGAAAAAATAAATGAATTGTTTGAAATAAAATAAAAACTTATCCTAGTTAAAGATCACTTAAAGAAAATAGAATTACTTCATCAAGCATCTGAAGTAATTGAATACTTGTACGATGATAAACACTTCAGCTAGGCTTTCCCTATTTTAAGGGAAAGTTTATATGAAATCACACAATTGACATTAGTCACAGAGTGATTTACACTAAGCGTTTTTCAAATGATGATTTTTTGTCATTCAATAATTTTTATTCATAAAATCAATACTTAAAGAATTAAGTCTTCTAGAAAGAAAATCAACATAAAATAATTGAAATCTAAGGGAAATAAGAATAGGACTGTTGAGTTATTTTATTCAATATAATTCTATAAAAATTAAGGTTAAGACTTATTTAATTTTGAAAATTCTTAAATCAATAGATTTTATAATATCTCATATATTTCTAAGAATATAATGAAGGAGCTCATAAAATTGAAAAAATAAGGTATTTTAAATGAATTGATTCAGAAAAGTAATTTAAATAAATCTGATTCATTAGTATTTTATTGAATTATAATGTCTCAAACAGAAAATAAGTAACCGAAACCATTGAAGGAAGTCTTGGGATTGAAATATGTCTTTGGTTTTAGAGGTGACATCAAAAACTCAATCCTGTAAGGGACATAAACAAATGTATAAGAGAAATCAACTAAAACAAAATTCATATACCCTGCAGCAAATAATATAGTGATTTTTGATCCTATTGCTGATAAGAATAAGTCATAGGAAATAATTCAAACAGTTCTAGGAAGTAAAGGTGTTACCTGTTTAACCATTTCCTTATCTAGAAGGTAGATTCTAAATTGTAATTAGATATATCGCATGGTCAGAAGAGAGTGATGCTGGAATAATAGTAATATTAGATTTAAATACTCGTAAAACAAAAATATTGAGTACAACAGATTGCAAATCACGTTATTATGTGAGTCTCGATTTTTCGAGGACAGAAGAATCAAAATATTTAGTAGCTTTAAGTGCCCCTCCAGAATAAATGTTGATACATTGGGCATGGGATAAATCAAAGTGTTTAGGAAGCACAATAATAAATGCTAAAGGAGATTCGATTAAATTCCATTAAGTTTTTTATCATCCAAAAGAAGATGATTTTGTGTGTGTTATGGGTAATGGAGCTATCAAACCTTATAAATTGATACCAGATAATCCTCCAAAACCAAAGGATTCTCCTTTTTAAAAGAAGAAGGAAGTAAGCATTTAATATTATTGTATAAGGAAACCCATTCTACTAATTTCCTTTCTTATTGTATTTTAAGTGATTCTAAGACTATGGTAGTAGGAACTGATAGAGGAGAGGTGTTGTATTTTAATGAAAATTGTGAATTCAAATTAGTTCTTTCTCCACTTTAAAATTCGAATTAGCAATCAATTGAAGGATTTCCAATAGAATGTATAGTAAAATATTCAAATGGATTTATTGTTGGTGGAAGTGATTGCATGATCTACATTTATAGAAAACATGAAGGTGATCTTAAAAATCCATATGTTCGAATTGATAAAAGAATATAAAATAAACAAATAATGGCAAAAATTACTAGTTTATGTCTTACAAATTAAGAAGATAATCTTATTTTTGGTGTTGAATCTGGTTAAGTGTTTAGTATACCATTTAGTGCAGATAGAGAAGTAGCAAATGAAGATGAAATTAAATTTGATCATTTAATAGCACCATTTCATAGTGGACCAATTACAGGATTAGATGTTTGCACAAGAAAATCATTAGTAGTTACTGTATCAGATGATAGAAGTATTAGAATTTGGAATTTCAATGAATTAATATTAGAAGTAATGAAAGAATGTGAAGATACACCTTTGGCTGTAGCTATACATCCTTCTGGATTTCATTTGATTGTTTCATTTTCTGATAAAATTGTACTTTACAATTTATTTGAAAAAGATTTAAATTCATTTAAAGAAATTCATATAAAGAATTGTTAATAAATTAAATTTGCTCATGGAGGTCATTTATTTGCAGTAGCTAATTAAAATTTAGTTTAAATTTATTAATTTTATACAGGTGAAAATCCATAAAATTATATATTTAAATAATCAACAGGAAATATTTCAACTATTGAATGGGATATTGATGATTTAGGATTCTATACTGGAAGTGATAATGGTTTTGTACTTTATTGGAGATTAGAAGATAATTAAAATAAATTATAATTGGCTATGATTTAATCTTAACCAATTGAATGTATTTGTACTCCTAAAACTTATGCCAATATTGAATTATAAAAAGTTTATATAGCAGGTCCATATGATGGACAATATTGTATTTATGAATCTTAACATCATACTAAAATTCACAAGGAAGCAACAGAAGGTACTAAGAAGGAAATCCCACTCTATCCAATTTAAACTGGATGTAGAGTTAGTAAAATGGCAATATTTAATAGTGAAAAGATAATGTTATTTGCTACTTGTTAATTAGCTAATACATCTGAATTCACTTAAAAGTAGAACATTAAAAATATGAAATTTGAACCAGGAGGTCTCAGATTTGCCAAATATCCTCTTGCACCAGAGGAAATCATTGAAATATAACCTCATATTAAAGGTATTACATAGATGAAAGTATCATATGATGATTCATATGTTTTTACTGCTTCTTATGATAATTCATTGATTATTTATGATGTTAAAGATCAGAGTTCTAAAATTGAATTCAAAGATGGAGGATAGGCTTATGGTGTTTAAGCTTATGCAGATGAATTTTTAATGTAAAGGGATTAATATAAAAAAAAGATTGCTAAAATAGAGGATTTAAAATAAAAAATTAAAGAACATGATATCAATTAAAAGATTAAATAGAATATGTATACAAAGGAAAAAGATGAAATGATTAGAAAATTAGAAGAATAAATTGATTAATTGGAAAAAAGAGAAAAAGCTAAAATTTAAGAATTAGAGAATGCTATTAATAAATTAGATAGTGATTTTAAAGAAGAAAAGAAATAACTTTATGAAAATCATGAAAAAAATAAAAAAACAACTGAAAATGATTTCAAATAAAAAATGGCATTGGAATCTTAAAGATTAGAAGAATTAACCAAAGAGAAATAATTGAAATTATAGGAATTTCAAAGATATATTAAAGAATAAAAGGATAAGAGTACAGAAACTAAAAATGAAAAGAAAAGAGAATATGAAAAATAATTAAGAAAAGAATAAGAATTATATGAATAATTATAAAGAGATAAGGAAGAAAATTAAAAAAGATTCATAGAAGAAAGAAATAGATTAGAAGATGATGCAGAGAAAGAAATAGATAAAAAAAAAGAGATTAATGAGGCTGAAATGAAGAAACTATCAGATGAATTAGATAAAGCTGAATTGGAAAAGAGAACTAAAAAAACTGAATTTGATAATGTTTAATCTACATTAGAATAAGCTAATTCTAAAGTTAAAGAGATAATGGAAGATATTGCATAAAATTAAGAATTAAATAGATAATATCAAAAAGAAAAAGAGAGTCATGATAAAGAAATAAAAGAAAGAGATAAAACAATATAAGATAAATAGAAACGTATTTATGAATTAAAGAAAAAAACATAAGAATTAGAAAAGTTTAAATTTGTTTTGGATTATAAAATAAAAGAATTAAAAAGAGATATTGGACCTAGAGAGGAAGAGATAACAAAAATGAAAGAATAAATTACTAATATGAATACAGAAATATTGCATTTTAAAAAAGTTAATGCAAATCTTGGATTAATTGTAACTGATTTAAATTTGAGATAAGCAGGTATGAAATAAGAAATTGAAAATTAATAATAAGTTATAGAAAGCAATTCTTAATATATTAAGGCATTTGAATATGATATATCAGAAACTCATGCACACATTAATGTAATAAATTTTTATATTATTTAGGATTTCAAAAGACTCAAATCTGATATGCTAAAATTATTCAATAAATATGTTTAAAGTGTAGTTTCAAAAAAGAAATTTGAAAATGTAGATGTCTAAAAGGAATTTATTAAAGAGAGAGCTCATTTAGAGACTACTAATAAAGGATTGAAGGAGAAGTTTTCAAAGAAATTGAGAGTTCATAAATAAGATAACAATAGAATAATGAGTTAAAATGTAGATCTGATTAGTGAAATTAATGATTTGAGAAGAGAGATTAAATTATTATAAGATGAGGAAGATTTGAAATGTCGTTAAATTGAGTAAATGAATGATCAACCTGAAGAGAGAGAACTTGATTAAATCATTGAAGAATAAGAAATAGAAATTAATTAATATAGAGAGAAATTACAATTTCTTAAGGAAGCAGTTCAATAAAGAAGATTATAATAAAATATTAATTCTGATAGTGATCATTAAGAAAATGTATAAGAATGAAGAATTATATTTAGATATAAAATTGTAATTAATTTACATAAATTAATATTAATGATTATTAAGAGAGGTTTGAATTTCTCCCGTCTTATAAAAGAAGCTTCTAAATTAATACATGGAAGATAATATATAGATCACTATTGGTATTTGAAATCAAAGTATGATAATCTTATAACAATAGTCCAGAGTCACTTCAACCTATTATAGATAATGAAACAAAAATAAAAAACTCATTTTTTGAGTAACCTTAAATAAAAGAAATATTTGA